CACAAATGTTTCCATGTAAATAGCTCTCCTGATTGTTAGGCCCCATTTCCATACGAGGGGTAGTCTCAGGAATTCCTCTGTGACACTAAATGGTGTTTATCTGAATAGCAAACCCTATACAAAGCAATGAGAGGCTGACAGTGCCTGCGGCCATTTACATATAATCAGACATGCAGCGATTACCTGTGGATGATTAACCCTAGACACAAACTGCCTGCATTCAGGGTCAATCACCCACAGGTATTTGCAGCATGTCAGGTTACGGCTGTATGCACCTTCAGCCTTTCATTGCTTTGTGCAGAGGTAGGCAATCTCCGGCCCAGCTATGGTGCAACTAAAATCCCATTAGACAGTGCAAGATTGACAGCCACAGGCATGAGGCAGATATGCATGATGAGATTTGTAGTCTGACCACAGCTGGAGAGCCAGAGTTTGCCTAGCTCTGGCATAGGGCAGTTGTTGCCAAACATTGCCGAGTCTCTCGGAGGAATTAGTAAGACTGCCCCTAAACACAAGTGAAGGGGACCATATAATAGGAGCTGCGCATTTCATATAAATTGGTCTAAAAATAGTCCTTTAAATATGAACACGTTTAAGATAAAGGTAACACATATTTCTGCAGTTTATCACTCAGATCACATTACTTATTTCTCACGGTTTCATTGATGTTCCTCTTGTAGCATTGTACATTTCCCAGCGACTTGCCTTACAGAGGACAATGATCAACAGCGATATCCAGCACACGTAAATCCTTACCATGGAAATAGTGCGACAAACATCGTTAAATATTAAAACGCTCCAGGAAAATATTAATCTCCCAGGAAATAGCTAAATCTCCCAAATAATCTAAGATTAATAACGGCATGTGGCTAGAACTTGTGCCTTCTTCAGGTCCATTGTCATTATGTCACTGAGATGCTAATGTTTTTAAGAACATTCTGTAGTACAGGGGTAGATATCCTCGGTAGGGATGTCCCGATACTAGTATTGGGAACGATACAGGGCATTTTTCACGAGTACTCTTACTCCTGAAAATGATGGGGACACACTTGATGGGGACCTCAGGCAGCTGTCTTTGGCAGTGCCTGTCCAGTTGTACATTACCTCCTCCTACTTCCCGGCGCAGCAAAAGAACAGTCCCATATGTGCCTGTACAGCCCCAGAGGCAGCACGAGCCCGACACCCAAAGAGAGGCCTGATTGGATTTGTAGTTTCAGCACAGCTGGAGTGCCGATGTTGCCTACCCTTGCTGCAGTGAGATGGTATGGAGGTTCCTACTGCTGGCCAGAAAAGAACACTGCGTGGGCGCATGGCCGTTCATAATCAGGTGTTTCTGATCAGCCTGTACAAATCAATGGCAAGCGGAATCGGCATGTATTCACACATGAATACCAGCGGTTAGGGACATGTAAGCCGTACTGAATGTAGTCTACATGTAGGGCCACTCACCGTTCCTTGAGAGAATACCTGCGTACAGCATCAGCCGAAACGTGCCCATACACTGTACAATTATCATACGAGAATCGCGGGAAATACAGCGATCATACGAGAATCGTGCAGTGTATGGAAGGCGTGCGCCTGTTTCTAATGTACGATAGCAAAAAGTTTTCCAGGCACACTCACAAGCCAGCATGTAAAAAAACAAAAAACGTGTCTCACACTAAGGTTAAAAACAGAGGTTTGGACACACGTCTTCTGAAGAAAATGTGAAAGCCGCACAGCCGCGCCAAGGCACCTCTTATAGTGCGGTCCGAACTCTAAACTATCAGAGCCTCGAGCCTTTTCTGGAGAAGACGTGTATCCAAACCTCTGTTTTTAACCTTAGTGTGAGACAAGTTTTTTTTTTTACATGCTAGCTTGTGAGTGTGCCAGGAAAACGTTTGCTATTTTACTGTTTAAAGCCCATTCCGTGTCCTTACTGTAAAGCTGGTGACGAATTGATGAGTGCATTTGTCATCTGTTTTGCTTGACCATTTCTAATGTACGGTCGCACGACTTTTGGATATCGAGCATGTTGGAAAACCAGTCGAGAATCGTACAATTTTCGGCTGGTTTTTAACATGATCGAGAGATCAGTGCCGAACGGGCCGGGGTGCGCAAGCGCACACTGCCCGTTCAGCATTGCAGTCATCGGAAGCCCGCCCTTCAGGGGGCGGGCTTGCGATGATCGCAGGTACGATCTGTCTGTCCAAGATGGGCAGATGGTACGTTTTTTAGAATTACTTTACAACCCTCGCAAGACAAAAGTCTAGCGAGGGTTGTATAGTGTATGGGCACCTTATGGAAGGCGTGCAACCGTTTCTACTGTACGGTCGCACGTCTTCTGTCGAACAAGCAGGCTTGAAAGCCCGCCGGTTAGTGGCCTGCTTGTTCGACAACTGCCGAACGCGCCAGTGTCGCACGCGCACACTGGCGGTTTGCAGTCATGGGAAGCCCGCCCCACAAGCATGTCTACACTCTTTTACCTGATTTACTGTATATCTTGCGTGGCCTTGTCAGGGGCCGCACTTGAAACCCTCTATAGCAGGAGTTGACCATCACTGGCCTATACTATACTAGTGTCAGGTTAGCCGTGAAACGTGACTACTAGTTATCAAAAGTAGTATGACTTGCCTCTGTCCCTGTTTATTGTGACTTACTATTTTACTGACAAGAAGAACAACGGATAGCAGACACAGATATATGCATTATTTAGCTGGGTCCTGGCTGCTGGGAACGTGCTGTGAAGATCAGTATTCGTAACCTCAGACATCAGATGCAGCAGTCCCAGCAGAAGACAAATATACTCTCTTTAAAACTTATGAACAGGAAACCCCTACTGAGAGAAATGTATAGGCTGCCATTGTAAATGCTAGCTGCTTGGCTGTCCTTGACTTCAATAACTCAAGTCCCTGACCAGAAGTAGGCTGCAAGCGAGGTTGGAGCTCCTGATTTTTATAATGGCTCTGGCGTATGGATTTACAATATACTGAGGCCACACTGGTACCAATACACCAGAACCATTACAGATCTTCCAAAAATAAGATGCTTGTTGCACTGCCAGGCAACATGCGTTTAATAACAGAAGATTTAATTAATGGTAGGCTTCCCCTCAGTGCAGGTACCCTCAAATAATCTAGGCCAAGGCCAGCGATCACCTTTCACTATTTGAAATGCTCTACTGTAGGGTGAAATCTGATTGGTTAGCATGTGCCCCTTTATTAAAATGAGCCTGTTGAATCAAATGACATCATCACACAAGTGCAGCATTTTTTCTACATTTTGAATACAGCTGTAAAAATCAATAGATAAAAGCATTAGCTTATTTTAGAAATGAGAGACCAATTGCATGCTGTATTCAAATACATAATCATTAGAATGTGTTTGCTTGTCTGTTTCCCACTGTTCCATCGCCAAGTTCTTTGATTGTTGTGCTCATCCAAGCAACAAAGACATCTGCTGCATTTTGCCCCCCCCCCAAACAGTAGCAACAAATCAGTCCAGGAATCAAGAGAGGAGCCCTAAGCAGCTGCTTTTTAGCATTAATAAGGGCTACAGATGAAAAATTAGGCCACGCCGTGGAGGTCTTGTTCACATGACCAGCTGTTAAATGAAAGAACAAAAGCTTGCAGGGTAATAATTGCGTTAAATGCAACCAAAGCACGCAACTAGGCTTTGAGAAAATCAGGGACGCAATGTACACAAACAATTGGAAGATACAGGTCAAATAACAGGAGACAAAGCCTGACAAAGATTCTAAACCTGACTGCAGACAACGGTACATGGAGACCAATTCTTTTATTGGTCTGACATAATGGTTTGTAGGTTTCCCACATAGCACATAAACCATACATTGTTTCTAGACCTACAGAACTAAAAGGTCTGTTTAACATTGCAATGTAAGCTTTGGGTAGTTCCGTGTAGGCACAATGACACTCACTAAACCTGGATTATTTTAGGTGGAGCGGATGTTTATCGTTAGCATTGTGGGAAACTACTGACCCCTTTCTGATGCTTCTTGGAGAAAGAGCTAATCCACTGATAAAAGGTCAGCATTGGAGGCATCTCTAAAATCTCCATTACATTAAAGAATAACTCCGGGCATGTAAAAAGTAACCCTTGCAGTGGGGCTAACCCCACATTGTAAGGGTTAAGTGCTTGTTTTGGTCTAGGGACATCATCACGTCTACTGAATTGCATTGAACATGAGGACACCAAGGGACATTACACAGCCAGGGTGGAGGGGGAGAGAGGAGATCAGTAACCACCATGGGACTGAGTATCAGGTGAGTGTTTCTTCTTTATTTTACACACTGTGCATAATTAGTCGGCAAGTTGTATTGTTGAGGATTCATTTCATTATTGAACAACTACAGTGTTCTCGTCCAATCCAAAATGTTAATAAACCTCAAACCTGACTATTTAGAAAAAGTAAAAAAGTGAGGTTTAGGCATTCTTAGAAGAATATCTATGTGTGCACAATTATTATTCAACTAAATGAAAATTAAAATGTTCCCATCTCACTTGTTTATTTTCATCTGTTAAAGTGAGAATAATACACAAACAACTAAAAATTTACACACACACACACACATTTCTGTCATTTTCAGAAACAAAATCAGTGACCAATATAGCCCCCCTTCTTTTCAATAAGTCATCTGCCTTCCATCCATGGAGTCTGTCAGTTTCTTCATCTGTTGACTATAACTTTTTGTGCAGCAGCAACCACAGCCTCCCAGACACTGTTCAGAGAGGTGTACTGTTTTCCTTCACCGTAAATCTCCCCTTTAAAAAGGGCCAACAAGTTCTCATTAGGGTTTAGGTCAGGTGAGGAAGGGGGCCATGTCATTATTCTTTCATCTTTAAGGCCTTTACCTAATAGCCACACAGTGGAGTACTTCGATGCATGCGATGGAGCATTGTCCTGCATAAATATCATGGTGGTCCTGAGAGATGGAGACTTTTTCCTGTACCACTGCTTGACGAAAGTGTCTGCTAAAAACTGGCAGTAGGTTTGGGAGTTGATTTTGAGTCCATCAACCCGAAAAGGTCCAACTAGGTCATCTTTAATAATACCAGCCCATACCAGTACCACACCTGCACCTTGCTGGTGTCTGAGTCGAAGTCTTTACAGCTAGTACTAGGTCAGAGATGATGGTAAAGTTCCAATAAGTAATTAACCATCCACAGTAAGCTATAGCAACCTATCAAAATCCATCCTGTAATGACCTGGCTTCTGCAGAGTGAATTCTGTTCATTGATGCGAGTAGCTTAACTATTAGGAAAAATGTATCTTATTTGTGTATTCCTCGGCTGTAGAGCCTCAAATCATCTCTGAATTGGTGCTGATACTGTCCTTCCTTCCACTTTTGTTCCCGATGGTCCCTGTGTGTGTTGTAAAGTAGTCACTGATCCAAGCTCGCTTCCATGATAGACTACAATCTCACAAATTAGTAAACTAAAAGTGAGATTGTAGTCCATCACAGGAACGAGCTTGTGGCTACTTTACAACACACACAGGGAACATGGGAAACAAAAGTAGCCACCCTCCAGAATGAGTGTCAGTATGAATTCAGGGCCTGTTCACACGACGTCCGTATTCTGTGCTGACCTGATCCGTACGCTCCTGCACTAAATATGCATCCCAATGTATCCCCATGTATTTTATGGGCTACAGTTCTCATGTGCGCAGTCCGTTGCTGACATTTTGTCCGGTCAGGAAACGCACGAACACGTCAAAAACGCAACGCAAACGGAATGCAATGCAGCTAAGCAAAAAAAAAAAAAATGTATTCTTGCTCCACTTTTTATGATGTCATCATCGTTGGACTTCCTGGTTGTGGTGGAGCTTCAGAGGGAAAACAAGCAGTCAAGTCATGACTAACATGGTCCTGGACATTGAGCTATTCGTCGGATTGATGGAGCATGCGCCAAGGCTCTGCAGATTGCTGTAGCCAGCACCATCAACATGCCTGCAAACATGTGATACATGTCTGATCACCAGCTTTACATACACAAAGTGAAGTAGATGTTACAAGAGGGCGGAAGTGACCTCAGGAGGAAGAGTATGCATACTGACAGCCCACGGCTTGAAGAAAAAAAAATGAACTGTCAGCATCTGGACCGAAAACGCATCAAAAACGCACTGTATGAGTAGCACCGCGTCTGCAGATCCATACCTGATCCGGACCTGAAAATCATGTGAACAGGCCCTCAGAGATGATTTGAGTATCTGCAGCCGAGTGATACACAAATAAGATACAGTTTTGTTAATAATTAAAAAGGTACTTGAATGTATTTTTAAGATTTAACTCCTGAGTCTAGTGTCACTTTAAAATAGAGAGTTCCGCCGCACTCCTGACCGAGAAGCCCCATATATTGTGGGAGGGTGCTGAAGTGGCCGCGGATGGAGCCGCCAAATACTCGCAAAACAGAATAAATGGTCAGCAGCACTCCAAGTTTTCTTCAAAACAAAATCTGATAAATTCTAGCAGGTCATGGCAACGTTTCGGAAACTTATCCGGTCCCTTCATCGGGCAAACAAAAGTGATGAAAGGACCGGACAGGTTCTGAAAGTGCTGGTGACCATTTATTCTGTTTTGATAGTGTCTCTTTAAGGCGCATTGGCTACCGGAGGGTGTGGCTACGGTGCCATTCATTTCAATGGACCGCCACTCCCCCTCCTGTCCCACAAAAAAGTGAGCCGGCCGCAATGCCGGTGGGCAAATTAGTATAGAATTCAGGAGCCAGGCTGTCCAATCAGGGGGCCAGCTCCATTGACAACAACTAATGAAAACCCTAAAAGGTGCCCATACACTGTACGATTCTCGTACGAGAATCGCAGGAAATCCCGCGATGGTACGAGAATCGTAGTGTATGGAAGGCGTGCAACCGTTTCTATGTTAGGCCCAGCTGTCATTTTTAAAGAACATTGGCTATCCAGCACCTGGGATTTACAGCATTCCATGGTTGTAGGCAATTATAATGTGCACCAGCAAGCTAATAGTTTTCTTTTAATAGCTAAAAGAAAAAAGTAATCAAAAGACACAAAAGAAGCCATGTGATTATGAAATGAGCCAGGAAATGCTAGCACTGCACACAGTCCTAATGACCTCTAGCCCATAAATGACCATGGCTTTATTGCACTTGTCCATATGTTCATTTCCTAGTGCACCTTGTCCATTCATGTGCTACAAACAGTTAAACAAAGACAGGTTTTGATGGCAGCTTGCGATATACAGATGTTGGCAGAGAGAAAAAAAAAAAAAAAAAATGGAAGAGGCAATGAACAAATGTTTTTTTGTTTAGGATGACCCTGTATAACTTGCTCAGTGGGATTCCTCCAGCAGCAGCAGCAATCATGCTTAACCAATAAAATCCTCTCCCCGGTAGCCCGCACTGACAGGGGAATAATCTGACAGAAAGCTCTTCCTCTGGCCCTTAGAGGGCGAGACTTTTTATACCATAACAATCCTCATGAGGGTAGCTGCAATAAACCACAAAAATGCTTGAAAAGGAAACCTTTGCACGACCTGCAAAAGTGTAATGAACAGCTTAACAATGTCCTGAAACAAATAAACTGTCAGCCATATGTCCATTGTACTAACGAAGGGAGCCGCAGACATGCAGGTGGCTAAGAGATGTATCTGGTCATAAAACAAGCACAGTGCTGTGATATGAGCTTTTTATGGCTGTATGTAACATATATAATTAGGAATACACTCCTACTCCCTTCAAAAAAGGAAATATTGTGGGAATTGGGAATGCCTGCAAGGGACTTCCAGCATGCTGAAAAATCACATTCTCCACATGATCATGTCTTTCGATGACCATTACTCACAATAAAAACATGTGAATTTCTAAAATGATCTAAACACTGAACACAAACTGCAACGTGTTGGAATCAAGAGGGAATGTGACTGCTGACATTGGACTACATTTCCAGCTAAACAAACTTTTACCAGTTTTAATATCCATCTGCTAACTTGTACGATTGCACACATTGTCCTATAAACAAACGATTGTGGAAAAATCTTCATATCGGATAATGGCATCTAATGTGTAAATGCTGGAGGGATGAAGCCGTTTCTATTCCCAGGGCACTTTAAGGAATGACAGTGTGAACTGACACCTCTACCCTTTCTTCTCAATGATTTATACTCATGATGTTCATAGCTGCACTACTGTCATTCTCTGTGACATCTAAATTGGATTTATATTGGTCTTTATCCCCCATCAGATCTATGACATGAATTGTAAACCCTGATACACAAACTTTATTCGTTTTTCTTAGTAGTGACCATTGCCTCCAGTGTAAGAGTAACCCCATCAAATACAGAGAGATCATATTAGAGAAGTTGGTATAATAAACCTGCTGTCTCCACTGCCGAATGTCCATATCTGAAGATTCCTAGCTTCCGATCTCTGTTCACATCGCCTTCTTAACTTTGAGCGTTAAAAAAAGAACTCCAGGCAAAAACACTTTTAACCCTTGTCGTGGGTCTACCGCCGCAATGGAAGGGTAAAAAGTGTTAATGTTTGTCCAAGTTAAAAAAATAACAGATTTACTCACCTGATTCTCCGAGCCGGCTTGCTCTTAGGCTGGTCTCGCCCTCCTGCCTCCTAATCCGCTGCAGTGATGGAATGTCATTCTGTGTCCTCATGTCCTATACACTGTGTGTAGAACGTAATGACTTAGGGCCCTTAGACTGCTGCTGCAGCAGAGAGGGAGCGAGGCCAAAGGGACCAGGTCTAAAGGTGCCCATATACCTGCCGATTATCGTACGATAATCGCGGGTGATCCCGCGATCGTACGATAATCGGCAGCGTGCTACCGCATCTACTGTACGGTCGCACGACTTTCGTCTTCTTAGCACGCTGAAGCACCCGCCGAAAAGCGTACGATTTTTGATGGGTTGGTAGTGTGCTTAAAGGTGGCCATACACTGTACAACCATCGCAAGACCTTAGTCTTGCGATGGTTGTAAAGTGATTAAAAAAACGTACGATCTGCCCATCTTGAACAGGCAGATCGCACTCTCGATCATCGCAAGCCCGCCCCCCCCGAGGGGCGGGCTTCCGATGACCGCAATGCTGGCGTGCGCACACCAGCCCGTTCGGCATTTGTCTCCCAAGCACCGTTCAAATCAGCCGAAAATCATACGATTCTCGGCTGGTGTGCTAGCATGCTCCTTAGACAAAAGACGTGCGACCGTACAGTAGAAACGGTCGCACGTCTTCGTTCACACTGTTCGATTCTCGTACGATCGCGGGATTTCCCGCGATTCTCGTATGAGAATCGAGCAGTGTATGGGCACCTTAAGAGCAAGAAATCTTGGAGGACCAGGCGAGTATGTTTTAACAAAAACGAGCACTTAACCCTTGCAGTGCCAGGGGTAGCCCCACTGCAAGGGTTCAGAAAATGTTTACCTGGAAATCTGCTTCAACTTTGAGCTTTAAACAAACACTGCAGGAAAACTCTGAATTAGGATCTGCTCTAAATAAGATGTGGCACTCTGCTTTGCAAAGACAAATTCAGACAATCCTGGCCAAAATAAAACTCAAAAACAATAAATAACCCGTACTCTTTCCATCAAGATCAGAAGGCACTAGGTCCATCTGCAATAGGCACACTGCTTCCAGCGCTCTTTGATGCATTGCCATACCAAGAAAAGCTCTCTGACAGTTCCTCGTGGCTGAAAAGATACTGGCATGGCAAAATTATGCCTACATGGCCAACTATTCTCTGATGTGGGTGGCGAAAAACCCCCTAAAGGCATAATAATTCTATCCCTGAAAAAGGCAAAGGCACACTGATGACATGTCATGTGAGATCATGTGTTTATAAGCATTGCTTTTTCATACACTCATGTGAGCAAAAACTAAAAGCAATAAAAAATGCATTTAGATAACCGCTTTCAGCTTTTTAAAAGCAGTCAAAAACCCAAGTGAAGACAGGATATTAAAGTCAGGGTAAAGAAGATGTAAGCTGCTAAATGCATGTAACAAATAACCATGAGTAACCATTAAAGCTGAAAAGCAGCAGCAAAAATTGGGTGGCAAATTTGGACAGGCTTGGCACCTTTAAAGAGACAATTGTGAAAGCAACAAAATAGGTAAACAATTTGGGACTTACCCACACTAGTAGGAAATATATCTTCATTGTTAATTTGTACTTCAATCCAGTCCATAAGTAGGTTCATATACTGAGGTGCTGGTAAGGCAGTAGGCTTCTTGTATTTAATGTCATCTTGCCATCTGTACTCATATTTTGGACCCCCAGACATAACAGGACACGTTGTCTCTGTGCAGGAGTCACAAACGGTACCGTAGATGAGGTTAATCCTATTGAAAAAGTCAACCACATGCACAGCCACCCAGTCGTTGAGGTCTTCTCCATTGGGCAGCTGAACCGTAGCCTTCATGTCAACTCCAGAGCTCAGAGATGCCTGAGCCCGTTTATGCAACTCAAACCTTTGTGTGCCAGGATCAAATTTTCTTTTGGGTCGAAAAGTCTTGTCCTTGTTAAATACTTGCTTTAGTCCTATCGACATGTCTTCTGTATTTGAAATATATCCTCGGTGTTGAAGTAAATCGAGTTTTGAACAAGATAGAGGAATGTCAACAAGGTAAATGTGTGTGTTTGGATTCACTTTCTTTCATTTCCTAGGAAAAGAAGAGAAAATGTGTCAAATCTATAAATGGTGTATAAGCTATTCAGCTAGATTTTTATTGAATCCTTTTATACAACTACATTATTCTAAAGAGCTTTGCAATGCATAGAACTATTCAATCATTCAGTGATCTACTGGAGCCTTCATCTCATGCCCCTACAACAGGGAGGCAATCTTAAACACATTACGGCCATTTTTAAAACAGCAAATCGCTTTTCTAATCTTAATCCTTTGGAACTCTGGCACCCTGAACAGTTTTAGTTGTTTCACTCTATCAGTTGCTATTTAAGTGAATGTATAGGCAAAGCTTTTTTTGTTGATAGCGTAAGGAAGAGTTAAAGTTCTGTTCTTTGCCATGTTGAACAGATTTGCCTTCACATTCTGTCCTGGAGATGCAACAGGAAGTGAGAGGAACTCTTTCTAAAATCGAGAGGAAGTCTCCTCCAAGGGCTAGTTCACACCAGCCACATTGCATTCTGGTCCGATTCCAGCCAGAACGCACTGGATCGCATTGCGGCTGGCTCACTTTGTTGTGGACCGGCTGGGGGCGTGGCTGTATATTGAACTCAAATGGCACCGTAGCCAGCTCCTCCGGCCACAATGCGATCGACCACACAGGAACACAAGGCACATCAATGCCCGCGGTCCGGCCAGAAAAAATGCTACAAGCACTATCTGTTCTGACCGGAACACAGGCATTGATGTGCCACACGTTCCCGTGCGCCCTTTCACATTGCTGCCGGAGGGCGTGGCTGTGGGGCAATTCACTTCAATCCACTGCCCCTCTCAAGCCCCACAACAAAGTGAGCTGGCCGCAAATGCAACCCAGTGCGTTCCAGCTACAATCGGCTGGTGTGAACTAGCCCCTATACAGTTGTCCCCAAGACAGGTATCCACCTTGGAATTTTACCCTCTCCACCCGATATGATAAATGTTGTCTCTCTTCTCACTTTGTCTTGGGGACAATGGTCACCAGGAGTAAAAAAAAAAAAAGAAGAAGAGGTTGAACCTCCCCAACAGAGACAAAGACACAATATCAACTTGATAGATGAGCCAACCCTTCTATCCAAACCTAAAAAATAAAAAAGGTTTTACCTTTACATACATTTAAATTTCCATTCCTCCTTTATCTCTGTCATAGGGTCTCTTCTTCATCACTAGGCCATCCCACCATTGGTCTTTCACTCTACCCTCTTTCTCTTGGAGTTCTCCCAAAAATCTTTTCCCGGAATTCTTCTCCAATACTTACCACAGGGCAAGCCATCTAAGACGCTAGCATGACAAGTCACCTAAGACGCTAGCTTATAACCCTTTTTTTTATATGTTCATAGCTATTGTATATTTATTTGTCCTCGTTTCCATCCTCCATTTTTCACCATCCCTCCACAAATCCTCCTGAACACCCTTCTTAATTCTGTCCAGCTCCAGGAGACTGAATATGTAACAGTAAGAGAAAAGTTGTCCAAAACTGAACTTTAGATTTCTGTGATAAAATCTGTGATCACATATCCATCCTTAAGTGAATTACAGCATGTCCTTCCAGTAACTACTCTTTCTTTTGTTTCCTAGGACACACTAGTATCTACATTTATTGTGATGACCTGATGACAGATTGATTTTATTCCTTCATGTCGTCATATTTCACTCCAGCAAGCCTTTCATCCAAGCAGTTATTAACTGCAATCTTTTATACTCCGTTCTCTATCCGCATCTGCTATGAACATATTGTATCCGACAGTACTTGTTCAGCGATCTGCTAATGCTCATTGCTTGGAACAGTCTGTTGACAAACGTTCATTACAAACACCCCCGTGAAACCCATCGAAAGTTAAGTGCACGTGTGCTGTACAGCATAGTGTAGAGTTAATTACCACTGTGTCACCATGACTGGAGTATGAACTCCATAATGACTCTTGAGTGTCTGAGAACTGACTCTCTGCACTTTTCTTATTTCCTGCTGTACACGGATATGTTCTTACAGCACACATACTCCGCACGATTCTTCTTTCAACAAAACAAGTCATGACAACTCACAGATCTGACCGGGGATCTCACAGTGCATGCTTTACATTCATTTGGCTAAAGATGTATGTACACTATGAACACAAACACAAGAGCTGAACAGTGATAACTATTTACATCATTATTCATGTTACAAGCTGGAGGCCACAACTGAGGTTCAGTTACAAACCGCTACAAAAAGACACACTGCAACCCAACTGGTGGTAACAAACTGCAGTTAGGATTTTTTAATAATTGGCAATAAAGTGATTGCAACCATGGTAACAGTATTGTTTTGCAGCTGGGAATCCCCTGCTCCTGTCACTGACTCTCCTAGCAGACTACAGTGTGCCAGAGCGGTCATCAGACCATTCGTTTCAACAAAAATCTTTCCATAAGATTATATGCGCATTTAAAGAACTTTATGCATGTTATTTACCTATGAAAGCCTCTCTTGTGTGGATATCCCAGTCATGAGACTGCTGTTGGGTGCAGCCATCTTGGATGAGAGGTCAGCAGCCCCAGTAGACTCCGAGCTGTCACTCTATAGCATTCCCCCTCACTTTATCTATGAGTGCTACATAAAAGGCGGTAGGTAGGTGGGAAGAGGGGTGGAGGAGCTGGGCCAGTGCAGGCAGTAATTAGGCACTCCCAGAAGACGAGAGGGCAAGGACCAAGGTGGCTGTGCCAGGCACATGACTCTACCAGAGTAACAAAAGATTTCTAGCCAGTTCAGAGGCACATAAGTGAATTCAAACTCCTTTATGAAAAGCTGGTATGCCCAGCACTGTCCTTCGGTTAGAAGCACTGGGTTTTTTTTTAGATGTGGTTTAAAATGTTGAAAATCACATTGTTGCCCCTTTCTCCCAATTACAAATCAGCCCGAGGGCCCATTCACAGCACCTGTGCGTTTCCCGGGACAATGAAGCATTGATCGAGGTGCACTGCAGTGTGTACTTTTTTTTGTTAGAACTTTATAAAAATGTCACCAGTGACATTTCATTCAGTTCTAAGGGCACAGCGAGGTGCGAGTCGGTTGTACCATGCTGCATCCCACCCCACTGCAATGAAAAAAGAAGGAAGGCATGCCTTTTTCCAACGCACACCGCCATGATCCTATTGTAACACGGTGGTGTTAATGCACACCATCCATGGCAAAGCAAATTGCCTTGTCTTGCGTTGGGTCGGTGCTGGAAACAATGGCCAACGCAGCTCCAATGCTGATGGTGTGAATCACCCCAAAATGTAATTCAGTTAAGATTTACATGTTACCTGTTACTGTTGCAGGCCCTTACCATGCTAGTTGCCTGGCTGTCATTCTGACCCAATGATCTCGAAGAAGTAAACATTTACTACATATTTTTTCTGGGTTTACAATTTACATGTATGGAAGCCACACACAGCCAGGTAAGCAGCCCTTACGTATCCCTCAGAAATGTACATTAAGCTATGAAGAAATTCGACATTTTCATGGTGAACACAAGATTACTGTATACGTTACTGTCAATTGTAGCTTGGTTCAAAGAGTGCAATAAACTCCCTTTCCTAGAAAAAGAGGTCATATGGTTTAGCTTCTGATACATAAACAGCTGGTCCTTAAAACAATCATTGCCTTTTTAAAGCTGAACTCTAGACAGATATAAGCGATACAAACTAATTCAGCTCTGTATAATTCAACACATCAAATGTGTTTTTCATTTTGTTTTTATAATGCAAGCAGTGCAAGTAAGTGAATTTGATCTGGTATCAGCCTCTTATAGTCCACTGTATAGCAGAACTCTGACTGGGAGAGGGAAAGCAAGAAAAAGGAGCCAATCGGTTGTGTTGCAGTGCTGGCAAGGAACATGTTGAATGGACAAGAGAACAAAGTGACAGAGATGAGCTCAGTCTGCTGCTTCACCTAAAGGTGCCCATACACCTTACGATTATCGGACGATTTTCGTATGCGATCGACTTTTCGTCCGATAATCGTATGTGTGCATTGCAGTGTCCGACCGACATTACTGTACAATCGTACGACTTTTGACGGTCAAGCATGTTTGAAAACTTTGTTAGATCGTACGATTGTCGTAAGGTTGCTGGCGTTTCCGTCCGTCAAAAGTCGTACGATCTACACTGCACTTGCGCTAACGAAAATACAGCAAATCAATTACCGCATTTCGTCCAGGTGCTTTTCGTTAATTACGGCTAAATTAGTCTTGCGATCATCGGGGCAGGATGGGGCTGCCGTACGAAAATCGTACGACTATTCGATCATCGGACGAAATGTTTCGTCCGATAATCGTAAGGTGTATGGGCACAACACATTGCTGTGAAGTTGCATAGGCACACATGAACATACATAGATTTTTTTTTTTAATCGGATAGGGGCAACTAACGTAGGGTGCAATCCGATAGATGCAACAAAATATTTAGCTGTCCCCATCACATTGCCCCCTTACATTGGTTGTTGCCATCAGAGTCCCCACCAATTAATGTAAGAGGGCAGCTAATGTAAATGAGCACTCCAATGAAAAGACAAGTAATAATTAGTTGTCTATGTCAGTGTCCCCTTTAAATTGATTTCCCCCAGAGTGTCCCCTTATTTTCTTCAATATTGTAATGAGGGGAATTTTATGGGGACAGCCAATGTAAAGGGGCACAGCTAAATAATTAGTTATCCCCATTGCATTGTTTGTCCCCTTTATATTATTGTCCCCACATACTTTATATTTCTACATTATTAATTAGGCCACAGGTGGGAGCCGGGAGGTTGAGCAAGCTGCAGGAGAGGATGGAAGATACTCTTCCTGTAATGCTGGCGATGGGGGAACACATTTGAGGTCACTGAGGCCAGTGCTCCTAGCAACCAACGACTGAAGAGAAGGGGGGTCTGCCCTGGGCTGGGGCTTGCAGTGATGTATTGGCCTTTGAGGCCAGCAAATCCACTGTCAGCCAGCCATAACTGGGCGCAGGTCTGTGATCGCTCCGTGTCCGGACTGTGGGCTGGCCAG